TCACTGACCTCATACAAAAGTTTTTTAGAAATATAACGTCAAAAGTAGATTTACCACTTGCCCAAGAATCACGCAACATCTTCGATCTGTCAAAGACGAAATTCCGTTTGAGATACTACACCATTCCACGCATGTGCGGCATTGGAGAGACCAGGCAAAAAATATTAACTAGGTTAAAAAACATCAAATCTTATTCGATAAAACTAAAATTCATGCGTGTAAACAATTTTTCTACCAAAGAAAAATCCGAGAATCTGTGGAGACAATGTTCTTGTCCCTCCTTTAGCGTCACAAGCTGGGTTAATTACAATAGCCTATGGAAGTTTATTTGAGAAATGCTCAAGTATGATTTTTTAAAATTCTACCAGCAGTATTAGCTACGCAGATTTTATGAAGTTGGGAAGAATATTTATTTTCTTCGCCATTGGGTATATTAATGGGTTTTGGGTATATAAATGGGTATTGTGTATATAAATGAAAATAGTCTATCGAAACTTGTACCGACTGCTGCGAAAAGATACAAAATTAATTAGGTTGGTTTTAAGCCTACCAAATAGTCTTCCTTCTACTCCCTTCTGTAAAAAACTGTAAATACTAGCGTGCGGAAAGTGTCATGTTACCTCGTCAGTTTCGTTTCCCGCGAATCCGAGCCTCTTCGCACAACACGCTTTGTAAAAAATTGGAATTACCACACTTGTTACATAATATAGTATTGGCTCCGTTACCTTTCAATTCTCATATACTCTTTATTATTTTGAAAAATAAATCATATTGGTGGGTTAGGTAGATCCTACGGCTTCATCAAGCAGGTCGAGTAAGGTTGAAGGATTCGCCGGGACCAGACTACGTCAAAAAGATTATGTCGAACTGATATTGCGAACCAGAGTAGCCACTAACCTTAATTCCTTTTGGATCTTTATTAAGTTTTATAATTCCGATTTAAAACATCAACCCCTCTAAATTTCCCGGACCATTGCAGTAAAAAGGGCAGTAAACTCTGCGAGAAATATCAAGTTTATTGCGTTTATGCCGTAGCGAAAATGCTTTCCTCATACAAATTTTTAATAAATATACCCTGTAACGAGGAAAATAAAACGGCAACCCACGATGAACCCAATTCGGGTAAGGAATCTAATAATCCAGTGACGTGCAAATTGTTCTTGATTAAATATGAAATGGAAGCGATGCTGGTCATAAAAATATTAAATCAGTAATGGAAAATATTTGAAGAAGTAAAATCAAAAATTATTGCAGAAACTAAACCAGAATTGACGTTTTCAAAATACTATTCCAACCATTAATCACTCTGATAAGACCAGAATTCAACGCCACTAGTTCCGCAATAATTTGTTGAATCCAAATTAGCGTTTCACTTGACTAGATATTAGGAGTACTAATCCTCTCGTCATATTAACAAAGAATGTTTTTTTTTTATTTAAAATACGTAACCAAAGGCCAAATTAGTTCAAGCGTCAAGCGTGGATCAATTTTACAAAGTGTATTCAATTTGTTAATTATTTTTTATGCTTGTAAGTTACCGTGTCCCTTATTTGATGTATATATATATATACATATATATATATATATATATATATATATATATATATATATATATATATATATATATATATATTGGCATCTTCAATGCTCGCGCTCCGAAAACACTTCGAACACACAGTGCTACAGAGTTGTGCAACCTCGACTACAATAGGCAAACAAAAGGCGCGAAAAACACATTTATTAAAATGAGGCGGTTGTACTTATTTTTATACAATTAATTATAATTCATGTGTATAAACCGGACAAGAATGGCATTATAACTTTGGTATTTGACAGTTTTCATCCTTCTATGTCGCTAATTCGACTTTCTTGTCCAAAGTACATGACAAAATGTATTTTACAATAGTAAATGGGAAAAATTTTATTTCGTGTATCAAAAAACAAGATGACGATCTTTTACATTAGAGTTCATTATGTCATTGGTTTCAAATGTTATGAGAAAATGATAAATATGAAAGTTATACAGATTGGAAGGATTCACGATTTTAAAGTATATAGGATGGCTCAAAACAGCGTGACGAATAAAATACACATTTTATTAAGTGGAACACCCCATTTTAAATTTTGTTTAGCTGGTTTTTGTTAGTTTGTGTAGTAGGTAGTATCTTTTTGGAAAAAACAAAATCTTGGAAAAAAAATTAAAAAATATATATGTTTTATTCGTCGCGCTTTTTGAGCCACTGAAACTGCATGTAGTATTTCTTCATTTATTTTTCATTATTTAATTCCAGTGAGTAATTACTGAACCCTATTGAAAATTCTTATCCTGATATTTGTAATGTACTCATCCTTCCTTCGCCATTTAAAACCGATGTCCTTATTACTAAACAGAATAATGAGGAAGTAAGCTTCTCTCAGTATATAAATGTTGTGTAGATGTAATAAATGAAAGTGAACCATCACACGTGCGCGCTTTCAAAAGCAAATTTATTACATGCTCAGTATCTACACGGGAAAATGTATAAAGATATATCAAACACACTATATTTAGGAGTTGCTGTCTTAAGGGACTCTTTCCATGAAACCGCTGAAAGGAGCAATGTTATTCTAAGTATTTGCCGGGCGATAAACCTAATTCAAGTGATCATAATGATGCCAAGTTTAGTATTACGATCCGAAATACAAAAGTGTGCGGTGAAAATACGTTGCTGTCATATTTAGTTAATTTTCCTTCTACCACTACCAACACATAAAATATTAGTAGAATATTTGAAACATTTTGTGAAAGGAAACGAAAATTGACGTCAGTCTCAAAAATGCTAATAGACAATTTTTTTATAATTTTGACAATCATTTTAATAGAAGGGAGCTTTGAAACCATATAAAGAGATACCGAACTTGGAAACAGCATTTTTAAAATATTTGTAAAAGTCTGAAAATACTTGAACGCTGAGAGCACTACAAAATTTAATAAATGGTCACTCAGTATTTGATATTATATAGTATCGTGAATGCAAAGCAAATTTAAGGAAAGACTTATAAAAAAAACCGAAGATATTTAGCATTAACAATAATAATGAATAAAATTGAACATATCTCAACTCAACCTTAACACATAATCTTTAAAATACCTACAAAAGTCTCAAAATAGAATAAAATTTAATAAACGATAACCTCTTATTAAATGTATAACAATTTTAGAAAAACATACAAAAAAATAACAAATATATTATTAACAAAAATTACCTAGTCTGTGTACGATTTCTTCTATTCTTTAATCCATATTTTCGCTTGTTAATTTATTTTAAAAATAATTAAAATTGAACATGCCTTTAAAGTTACCAGCTAGTCTATCTATAGGTAATTTTAAATTTAATAAAAATGGTGCATCTCCCTACTTGTTGTTCTATGCTAAAACGAAATTTAAATTTAACTAATTTTAGTAATTTTTCGCCCACATCATTAAATTGGGATATATTCATGAAATGTGCTTTAAATTAGAAATAGAAAATAGCAAAAACAAAAATTGATGTTAATCGCGAAAAAGCTATTAAGTTTGTTTGGCTACAACGACAATTAATAGAAGGAGAATTTATAACCATAAACCAAACTCATAAAAAAGTCTAAAACTACTTATATTTATAAATGCAAGAGCACTATACAATTGAATAAATGATCACCTCGTATTTGATGTTTCATCTTAAAAAAATTGATAACAATTATCGAATAATCTACAACTAGGATCACAAGAAATACATACATTCCAAAAATAAATTCTGTGTATTGGGTATCACATATCTGGTACTTTTGGGAGGTATCTCTATTATTGTTATAAAAAGAAAGCTGCGGTTTTTGCGACAGTGTGCTTCGTAGCAATTTTAAAAATGTTTGGGACCTCCCTGGTACATTTGTTACCCTTAAACATATCGGTAAAGATAAAATAACATTCATATAGATTTTCTTTCCGTGCAATGAAGCGGCATAGATAATTTTTGTTACATATTTATTATTTATATTTATATTTGCATCTCTTTTCTTTTCCTGTTGTCTTTGTCGTTGTCAACAAAATTTGCTGTTAAACTGAACTTTAAATCATATTAGAGATTTTCATAGCCATCATAGCTTACTTTGTAGAAATATATTTTCGAAGCTTCTTTAAAATATTACCAGCACATATTTTAATACGCTGTCATTATTCCAACAAATTTATAATTACCAAAATAAATTGCTGCAAAAACTGATAAAATAAACAAATATTTAACTTTCTTGTAAAAAACAGCAACTGACCAATTATTAAATAAAAAGAATTGAAAATTAGAAAATTGTGATTTATTTGAGTAATCCTGAGAAAATGTGCATTCTATCATATATTTCTGAAAAGGCATAAAAACGCAAAGAATGTTGTTAAAAGAATATTTAGTTTTATAAAAAACTTTGTATGTATCGAAATAATGGAGATACGTCACAAAGGCAAATAACTTGGGACACGCTGTACGTTTTCTTCTTAATATTTTAGTTTTTTACTTTTATTTACGTTATAAATATACCGTTATAGTTGTTAGCTAGTCAGCACCTAGTCTAAATAAAAATTCTATTTTTTCAACATCTTGTTCTACACTAAAACGAAATATTAGATATTATTTATCCTGATATCTTTCGAAAATAGTGTTATTGACATAAATAAAATTATAAATCAAATTATAAAAAATTAAATTTGACATCAGTCGCGGAAAAGCTGGTTTAAAAATCTGTTACGGTATAAGGACAATAATGTTATAATGTTAATAATTGTTTCAATAGAAGAGGACTTTGAAACAATGTAAAGTGATGTCAACCTTGACATAGCATTTTGAGAGTACCCGTAGAATTCTTAATTTTTTGTTGTAATTTCAACGACCAAAATATTGTGACAAGGAATTATATTAATTTTGGAAGATTCACATTCCATAATTAACGAAATCCTATCACTTACAGATAATAAAATCAATATGTGCACTTACCTATCGCAGAAACGGCTATGGCAAAGAGCACGGTGAATTTTATCCATTGCAGTGCAGCGGTTATCCTAGATCTCATGTCGTCCGAAATACCATGTCTGTTTTGCACTGTCTTAATTTGAAAGCGCATCCAACGATGGACCGAGACGCACAGAAAACATCCCCGATATCACTTTTTCCACATACTCTCTGGGATTACATGTGCTTATGACGCGGCTGCCTCCTGAAAATTTTCAGACGGGATTTAATCAGACTAATGCATCGGCGGCGACTGACATATTTTGACATTAACTTTACACACCTCATCGTTACCATTCTCAGCGTACGTCCCTTATTGCTTTAAATGTATCCTGTTATTTGGCTAAGTAAAAGCAAGTAAAACAAAAGGAATTTCTATCCTTTCATTCACCAGAGGCGGGAGGTTAAAAACAAAATAAAATAGAAATCCTCCCTTCCCCCAGATAATTAAGTTGTAATTACCAACCTGAATAACTATTACCTACATTACATTGGTAAACAACTGTACTCTCTCTAACATCCTTGCGATGTATAAAAAAAATACATAAAATTATTTCAGAAGGATGAGTGTTGGATGTATACTTTTGTTCAGGATTGATTAAGGATTGCCAAGCTGCTCATCTAATTTCAAGACTTCCTAACCACAAACCAAAATCTGGTAATCAACGATTATACATTATTAAATTGAATTTATTTAAAAAGCAAACAACGATATGAAAAATGTGGGCAATTCGATTAGTAATTAGAATTTTTTATCTGAAAAAACAGATATATTCATATATTTATATGGGGTGAACAAGTTCATTGTTCAAAGGAACAGCTTCAAGAACACAATTTTTCTGGCAACTTCGTTTTTAAGATTTTATCTGTCTCAGTTGCGAACTTTTTTGCCTTTTGAATATTTTTCGTAAACTAACTAACGATTACTAGATAAATGCAAAACTATTTGTTGTTCAGAAAACGAAGTTTGGAATATCTCGTAATCGTTATCAAAAAAAATTATAAAATTCAGGCACTCGAATCTCAAAAACTAATAAATAAATTAATAAATAACGATTTTTGAAAATAAGTAATTTTTTGCATATATCTCGGAGTCTGTACAGTTTAATTAATAAATTAAAAGGATTAAAAGATTCTCGAATTGAATAGTGAATCTAAATAAGTATTTTCAGAATATGCAGACATGACAGCCAGAATATTGGAGCGGTATTAAAAACACCCCTAAATATTGATTTGTTGAAGTAGATATACCAAATTATAACACATTATTTTTGAAAATTATAATCGGAAACGTCCAAATCTCAACAAATTCCTTAACAAATGTTTTCTTTAGCTGTTAAAGTGTCGCTATAAAAAACAGACTAAGTCTGAATTTTATCCTGACGTTATATTAATATCTGTTTATCTTTCTATTCTGTATAAAATATCTAAAGACGGATCCACCCAATATTGACAGATTCTTTATGTGAAAATATTCCGACACTTTTTCATTTTCGCGACCCAATAGTGTTATACAGAACGTTAAACTTTTTTAAAACAATTTAAATAATAAAAATAAAGTTTTAATTTATAAATAAGTCTTTTCCATATTATACTGAAACTTGCTATGTTAGATTATATTTTTCATGCCATACTAGCAGAAATAAGTAGTATTATATATCCTATTACCACATTAATAATGGACGCCTATGGCATTAAAATATAATTCATTGAATACACACACAAAATTGAGGTACCTAGGAACTTGACTTTATGACCCGAGGCGAATTCCTAAAATTCAAAAAATTGTTCACTTGTAGCGACCCTGACCTTGGCTTCGATTGAGATTTGTAGGCTGCTATATTTGGTCAGTACTTCTGTACGGTGTTGACGTTTGGACACTAAGAGTAAGAGCCATGTACAAATTGGAAGCATTTGAGATGAGGATATAAAGCAGAATTCTTAAGATATCATGGACAGCCAAAACGAGAAACGGAGATGTTCTCAGGCGTATTAACAAAGATTGCGAACTCTTTAATGATGAAAAAAAGAGAAAGACTGCATACCTGGACCACATAACGCGCAATAACAAATGTTAATTTCTGCAACTGAATATTGAGGGCAAGATAGAGCATAGAAGAGGACCGGGGCCAGAAATAGACAAGCTATGGAAAATGTGGTCGCAAACATCCATTAATGGATATGTTTATTGTTGATAACAATCACAGTTTTTGAGGTATTGTACATTAATTCCTAATTTAAAAAATTATTTATTTATTGAAAATTTAGGTTGCATAAGGACAAAAAGGTAGATCCCAAAGTAAATCTAAATGATCACAAAATTAATATAACTATGCAAAGTAGCCAACAAGTTAATGTTTGAATTAGGGTGTCGTATATCGTGTTATATCCTAGAAAACATTTATTCATCCGGCATTATGTAAATTAAATAGATTTTGTAATCTGGTGATTGGAGATTTGTGTCCGGGGTATTCTTAGGTTAATTTTTGATTAGATATAAGTAAAGTCAACATAACCCTTTAAAATGTTGTGAAGCATTGACTTATTATGGTTGTTATTATGGTTCTCAATATTAGTGTTACCTTTACATGCAACATATCTTAGAAATCTGTTTTGTACTCGTTTCAAAAGTGTCCATTAACTAGTGCGAACTGTGAACAACAAGAGATTTGAGGTTTTTTAAATCTATTGAATTTTATGAAGCTCGCCATTTTATTCGATTCGCTTATTCGTTTCAAAGAAATCTTAAGTCCACTTTTCGTCCAGCTTGACTCCCAGATCTCTAATCTCCACTACTTGCTCTAAGTTGATGTTATTAATATTGTAAGTTGAGTTTATTTTTTAAACATTTTAAAGCATTTGGCGAGACTTAGGAACAGGTTGTTTTGACAGTATTTCAAGCGCGGAAAGTCTTCTACATAATATATTATAATATTATATATTATATGACCATTGGAAAATAACTCAAAACGACCAAAATTTTTAAGTATTAAAATTAGACATACTTTCATTAAATTTTAAATAAAAAATAATATACAGCTTAAACTATGTACATATAATCTTGTATTTTTTTCTCGAACAATACGAATATAATTAATGTTTGGCTTTTATTGAAGCCTCACCCACTGATATGAATACTTCCAGCTAAGCTCTGGAAGTGCTCTAAAGCGCCACTAGAGTTGGTTCAAAAGAATTTTATAACTTCAAAAACTAAAATTGTCTTGCAAATATAGTCACAAGGCTTTATTAATATAAATCCTATACTCTTTGCTTTATTCCGTGTTTGTAATGCAACAAATTAACGCCAGTTCCAATTTTTGCCCAAAATATTTTAATTCTGAATTGGAGACAATACTAAATATACATCACTCAACCGTAAGTTGTCTTCATCGTCAATGTTGTCACCTTTCTGTGTGGTTGACATAATTTTTCAAGTGCTCTGAAGATACTTCAGTTCCACATGAATAAAATTTCCGATGAAACCCTTGAGACTAGCACATTGGTCGTATTTCCTCTTAACTTAAAAGTTTCACATATTCGTCAAGGTAATTTTTTTGTTAATTTTTACACTTTTTTTCTATAAATTTCAACCTTCATGACCCTCTCTGTGAAATCAATGAAACGAATGAAAGACCTTGTTGTCCTGATATAAAAAATATAGATTGTTGATATTTGGATAAGCCGTTCTTGAATTATTAAGTTTAAATTCAGCAATTTGAAACCTTCAGTTCGGAAAATGGTTTACTCACAGTAAGAAAATCTTCAAAACAGAAACGGTATGTAATATAATGTAACCTAACCTATTCTAGTGAGTAGTTCGAGCAGCTTGACAAAGTGAGCTCCAAAGAAATTAGAATAACCATAGATATTGATTCGAGCTAGCGACGACTAGACATCAAATATATATTTGTCAATTCCCTCAGTCCACAGTTAAATATGTCACACACGTCCGAAACACAATTATAATAGGAACACGCTATTTTTATAGGCGAATTTTTTGCCCGAACACTATGAAAGGTGTCTTTGGTGCGCACAATGAGCCATGGTACACGAATATCTAAATACTCTAGTAGATTCATTCCAAGGCTATTCATATTAAATTTTTTAAAATAAAATTCGTAGTTTATGCCTCTCGGTGACTCACCTTCTGTTTTGAACAACAGATACTACAACAACTTTTTCTGTACACCATCGACCGTCCAACTATGACAACAGTAAATCGGATTCCACACAACCGAGGCGTATTCAAGCTTAGATCGAACATAGCTAAAATCCAGGACCTTAAATAAATTAAATATAAAAATCGATTGTCAGATATCCATCAAGAAAAATCGGTACTATTACTTGATTGGCTAGCATTACACACCACACAGCAACCAATCTAAGACCTAGTATTTTTACTGGTTGTGGGTTTCTATTTGCCCAATAATGCTTATTTTTCTGATACCTGCCATCGTAAAGGTTGCTGCATCAGTAAAATAATTTTTCTCAAAAAATCGAGACTTTTATTTCCTTCAGATAAGCCTTGAACTAGAATTAATATGTAGGGGTGATATTTATAATATTTTAAAGTGGATTGCACTGAAATGGAAGGACATTCTCAGTTGTTCGGCAACAATTGAGATTGAACTTTCGGGATTTACGATGCGCATTTGTTTTCATTAACAAGTCTAAAATATAATACTGCAACAAGTCATACAACTTTTTTATCAAAAGATTTTCACAAATTTAAAAAACGACCCAGTGGTTCCTCGGGGTGGCGGGAAGGGAGTGAAGACCTGCGGGTATAACGGACATAAAGGAAAAGGACGCACCGCAGATAGAATAGTAATAGGAAGTACATAAATTTGTTTTTTGCCTTGAAATTGTGTCTATACTTGCTATTTGAAATTGAAAATTAATCATACCAATAAAAATTTTGCTTTATTAAGCGACATAAGATTTGGGACCATCAAGAAAGTTCATCTAGAAAATCTACGACGTGATAAGAGACAGGACACCTCCTTTTTCTACTGGTATGCCGTTTTAATTTATGAAATTTTCATAAAAAGCATAACCCAACAGGATACACCACTTTTCGAAAAAATATTGAAAAAAGTCGACATCTATAAATAAAAATATTGTATCTTAAAAAAGTTTTAACGTCCATTTTTATAAAAAACTGTGAGTAAAAGTGAAGTATGGCATAATAAAACTCCGAATATT